CCAAGGATGAGTGGTAAAAATTTCAGTCCGATCAGACAGAATTTAAGGAGGGTCGTAATGTATCAGGATGCGGACCTCTGAAAAACCAGAGTTTTCCTGAAAACCCCAAAAAAAACTTAGTTTAAATTTTTTTCCTCGAAGACGCATCTCGTTATTTTTGATACTCTATCTGTGCTGAAAATTTGAGCTTGATCGGTCGTACCGTCTTCGAGAATCAGGAATGGTCAAAAAAGAGGGGGGTACCCTTAATGAGCGTTAATGGCTTACAATCGCGGTTCCCGATTGTGCGTTTAAACGCGTTTTTCAAAATTTTTGTCTGACTGGGTCGAGTGAGAAGAAACGATTTGACAGCAAGCTGTTTGTTGTGGAAAACCACCAAATCACGGCGAGTTTCATTCTAACTCCCTTCGATCATCACTTCTAGCACATTGAAAATCAAAACATTTTCTGTCGAATTTTCAGTTCCTCTGACTTCTAGAAAATATCAACAACCGTGCTACAAACTGACTCCATGTTTGATAGAAAATCCGAAGTCTCTTTTTTTTTGTGTATGACAGTTTACTTCTGCTTCCTTTTTTTTTTATCAATAAACTGAAAATAATTCGATTTAAGATCGAAATCGAACATTTTAAGTTCAGTGCATGTCTATGAAATAAAAATATAAAATCTAATTTTGTTTTTAGGTCGAGAATATTCAATTCTTCATTCAACTCTTGCTGATTTATTTGAACAAATTGATTATAATACTCGTCGAACATTAAATGAATTAGAATATGTATTAAATGAATTAACAAATATAAAATTATTTTATTCATCAACACAAAATGGTACACAAATTCATTTACATCATCATCATCATCATATATATCATCATTTATCAACACCATCTGAACATTATTATAATCGTTTAGATAAACAATCAAATGATAATCGTTCATCACCATATGGTAGTCAAATATCATTATCATTAACAGGTACAGGTACAACAAATGAATCATCACAAGGTTATCATTCAATATCAACATCACCAATAATAACAACTGTTGAAAATATAAATAAAGAAAATATTCGTACACCATTGTCTTTCAAAAATCCACTTTTTAATAATCATACAATTGAAATAGAAGAAAATAATCAAAGTGATTTATCAGATGATGATAGTCAAATTAATTTAAATCAAACACAAACAGATTCATCAAAAGCACTTTATTTTATTAATAATCTTTGTATTGAATCTCTAAAAACTCCTTCATCACCATCATCTTCTTCACAACAATCACTTGTTCATTCAGCTAGTCGACAATCTTTACAACAACCATTATTTGTTTTAAATAATAGTTACATGACAAGAAGTACACAAAGTTTAGCATCATCATCAAATATAAATACACCAATAACAACAAATAATTCATCATCAACATATTATTGTGTTAAAACACATGATCAACTCAATGGAACAAATAAAAGACAATCAATTTTATCTAATCAACAATTACCACCACCACCAAAAATGGGTCTTAAAGCACTTAATCATACTTCATCATCAAATAAAGTAAGATTTTTTTTATAGTCAATAAAAATTTTCTATACTTCAAATATATCTCAAACAGCTAAATATGGCAACAATTTTGCATTTAGCTTTTTTCAAAAATATTGATCGTTTTGTTTTTTTTTTAAATATGTGCCATTGAATATTCAATCAAATTTTTATAGATATTTTAATAGACTAGTAACACTAAATATATGTACCATTATGTTATTTTTTTTACAAAGAAAAATTGGAAAAGTTCATTTTGTGATTGACAACTAAGGTTATTTTGTAATCAAATCAATGTTACATAAACCCAACTGTTCGAAGGATTGTAAAAAATAACAAACATTCATCACTTCATCAGTAGTATTTCTTACGAGATCAATACTAATTGTGCTCCTCAACGTATAATCATTATCTTCAAATTGAACAAAAAAAAAATAAAACCGGTACTGGTTATTGTTGTGTCTTATTAATTCTTTTCCTCTTTGTATTTCATAGAGGATATGTAATAAAACTTTGTTGAAAGTTGACTATGTCAAATATCACTATTCACAAATGAAATAGTATGATGTAACTTTGTCAGTTCAATGTCTCTATGAATTTTAGATCGATTTTATTTCCGAGTTGAAAAAAAACTATTATTTTGTTAAGATGAATTCTTTTTATTACATCTATGCAGCAATTTATGTGCATCTAACAGACTTTTTTTGATATGAAGTATTTGAAAATCACACAAGAAAAAATATATTTCTATTTCAAAATGAAACATATTAATTAATTATTTTTCCTTTGTATTGAAAATGCAAATGGATAATAATTCCCGTACTTTGAAAGTTACATTAAATCTCTGGTTGATTCTGAACTTTCTATTAAAATAACTGTAAAGATTTGCTCTTGTGATTTGAGTGTGATATTTGATGACGCAACTCTTGAACAGAGAGTACCATGTAAATTTTGTTGCCACAATCTGGTATATAAGCGAATTGCAACTTATTTTTGTATGATTGAGATTTTTGACTAAATCTAACCGATAAACTTTACTCCGATCAATTGATTTGGAAAATATTTTTTTATTCCTTTTTCAGCGTCTTACTATCACATTGGAAGAACAAATCTGTAGAAGTTTCCTTGTCAGCTTCTATTTATTTTAATATTCGTCTTATCCATATTAAGAATCATCGACAATACTTAATTATTTATCTTTAAAACTGAAATTTCATTCAGAAACTGTAATGTATGATGGAGTATTAGTCATATAAAACTATTATCATATGTTTATAACTATAGAATGGGAATTGATCTGTTTGTAATAGAAACTTTAGTGTTGAACGATACGGTACTATCTTGTTGCTTTTAAATAGAATTACTTTTGGAACTTTCTTTTTAAACAACTTTTGTATATTTGAAAGAACTAAAAAAATGTTTTTTCTTTTTTAAGGATATTGTTCTTGCTCAACGTTCACCAATGTTAAATTTATATCAAGAAGAAAAATGTCGTCGAATTGAATGTGAGAAACAAGCAGAACGGTTAGTAAAACTAAATTATTTAGATAACTAAATAAAATTGGGAAAGATTTTTTTTTTTAAATTTTTTCTAATCTTTAACTATATGAATAGTAATTTTGCATGATTTTATTCTCTATCTCTATCTCAGGCTCTGCTCGCATGAGACAGTTGTTTAACAAATTCAGGTGGGTTATTTAGATATATATATATATATGTATAGATTTCAAGCATGGTTCTTTGTTTTATAATTGTTTGTATCTATTTGAATGTAGTTGCATGTTATTGATTGTTGTTAAGCATGTCTTTTTTCTTTAATTTTATTTTTAATAAATAAATATATTTTATTTAGACTTCGTAATGAATTAAATCGATCAAATGAACAAATTGAAGAATATCGACATTTAATTCATTTATTAAATGAAAAAAATTCAACAACTAATATTGATGATATTAATTTAATTGATTATTCAGATGATGATGATGATGACGATATTGATGTTGATGTTGATATTCGACCAATTGAAAAAAATTTTTGTCTTGATGATAATACAGAAAATAAATTTATTTTTTTGTATAGTAAACCTCCATTACCACCAAATGATGATGATGATGATATTGATGATTTATCTATACTTTCACATCTTGAAAATGCGATTGAATGAAATTCTCAATTTTTTTTCTTTTTTTTTCTCATTCGTAGAAATTAGCCTTTTTTTTTGTCTTCTGTTTTCTCTTCACATGTTTTCTGTTTTTTTTTCTCTCTCAATACTCGTTGTTGTTTATTGAACTCACATTGTCATATCATTGTTTTATAATAAAAAAAAATAATCTATGTGTGTCTATTTGTTGTTTTATAAAACGAGGAAAGATTTTTTTGTTCTGTTTTCTTTTCTTATAATGTCAATGTTTATTGTAATACTTCAAAAATTTTGTAATAAAGCATATCAGCGGCTTGCGAATATTTCATTCGAAAATTAATTCATATCATTAAGTAAAATGAATGATCGATATCTGAAACAAAGAAGAACTTCATCATGTTTAACACGCCAAAAAAAGGTGATAGTAAAAGGGTGTGAGTTTGTGTATACGAAGGAGTGCGAATGGGAATATCATTGATGAAATTAGTACGGACAATCGGCTAGTCCAATCTGGTATGATATTTTCAGATAGGTTTCATCTACAGGAAAGGGTATTGGTAAAATATACTCGAACCTACTGTAATGAGGGTACATTTTCAGATGACACCATTAGTTTTGATTCGTTCATATCTCATTTAATCGAGTATATTGAGGTAGTAAAAAACCTAAAGGGATTTTCCCCCAATGTTCTTCCTTCAAAAGATATGGTCCTTTTATTGAATTTTCGACCCATTCCCAGGTATTTACGAAAAAATCAAAATACGGAATTTCGACTTGATATTTCGCTCATAGATAGGCCTAATGGTCCTTAGAATATCCTGAAAGTTTCAACTAAAAAGAATATTCCTTTCTTGAGATATTGAATTTTCAAAAAATAGTCGCCTGCCACAGATTGGTCACAAAAACCGATTTCACTTGAAAATTCAATATCTCAAGAAAGGAACATTCTTGTTAGCTGAAACTTTCAGAATATTCTAAGGGCCATTAGGCCTATCTATGGGCGAAATATCAAGTCGAAATTCCGTATTTTGATTTTTTCGTAAATACCTGGGAATGGGTCGAAAATTCAATAAAAGGACCATAACTTTTGAAGGAAGAACATTGGGGAAAAATCCCTTTAGGCTTTTTACTACCTCAATATACTCGATTAAATGAGATACGAACAAATCAAAACGGAGGGTGTCATCTGAAAAGGTTCTCTCGTAAGCGGCATTTTACTTGGAACCATTACTAGCCGATAGACCTTGAAATTTTGAACGTATCTGACTTCACTCAGAACCATTCTAGAAAAAATATCAAGAAGACTTTTTGGAATGATCCACTCTGAGACAAAAGTTCAATAAAATAAATGTTTGGAAAACGAAGGCAAATGTAGCTCTACTAAATATTTTGAACTAACCAGAACTATTAGGCATTTATCATAACTTCATCTAATATAATTTTCCGAACATTTATTTGTTTAAACTTTTGGCATAGAGTGGAATCTCAAACTCTATCGATTGGTATAAGTTTCAAGTAAACGGTGCTCACGGTGTAATCTACAAACACTTTAATGAGAATGAAAAAAAGATTAAAGTCTACATCCATATACATTCATTGATCTTTCAATAAATGTCATATTTATCTTGACTTTTTTGTGTGCTTAACTACAAGTGCTCATCGTTCCGATTCCCGTCATACACACCGATGAGTTCCCCTTCCTCCTCGTAAAAGAGTCAATTTTCGTTCGAATTATCGAAGTTGAGATAAATACATGGGAAATTAGTGGCAAATCTGGTCTTTCATAAGCGACATCATTTTGACACGTCGTTCTTTTATCAAAAATTTTTGATAATTACTGTCATTATTTACCTAATAATATGCTTTTTTTTTATTGCACATGCCAGATTTCTCGATGGAGCTTCGTTATAGACAATGACTCTTTTTTGTTTGTTTTTGTTTCAAGGACCATGTCAGGATGCAGCATATGATCGAGTTTTTTTTTCCAATTCTTACTTTTATATAATTGTAAAAAAAAACTTAATTTCAAAAATACACTCCGTCATGCCTTACATTTTAACATATTCTTTCAAACAGAGAAAAACCATTGGGTACAATGAAGTTCCTTCAAAAATTCTGGGATGCGCAATCAAAAAGGCATTTACACCGAAAAAACAAAGAAGATTCCTGATTTTATCTGGAAAAAAAAATTTCAAGCAGAAAATAAGATGTCAAATAAAAAAAAGTTTCATTTATGAAAGACTAGATCTCGGTCTATGTTTCTATACACTTATCCCAGTTTTCAACGAAAATTGACTTTTTTCTGGGACAGAATGAGACATAATCTATTACTTCAGTCATAAAAACAAAAATATCTAACATTTATTACTTAAAAAATATTTTTTTTTCAAATCAACAATAAGTTCAAGAGAAATAAAATTTATTGTGTTTTACTTTCATATACTTCGACATATTCTCCACCATTAAGAAGAAGAAGTAAAAACATAAAAGAATATATGAAGATATCACCTCACTATAGAGTTTACAGTTCTTTTTGTTTCTTTTATTACTTTTAATCTCTTTAATCCACTTTCCTCCTTATTACTCTTTTTACACCGTTTTTACTCTCTTTTAAAGGACAAAAGGAGGTACAAGGCTAAAAAGAAGTAAAAGTGTTGATTTCATAGTAGCTTTCGAATAGTAAAGTAAGTTAATCAAGTTAGATTTATTTTCTTCTTGACTCTTCAAATCCCAAAAAGAAAAAAGAATAATTAATTTATAAGACAAGTATCAACGTCACGTATGCAAAGAGAAAACATAGAATTGATTTCATAATATGTCATTTACATTTTATAATATATTTCATGCTATTCACAATATTTAAATGAAAGAAATTTATTATTAACGTTCAAATAGATTTTAACTTTGATAATGTACAAAAATATATACGGTTGACATATTTGTTAAACTAAATTTAGTTGAAAAATTTTTTATTAAAAAATTATTGAAGCAATTTATTGATATATTGCCTTAAATTATAGAAATATTAGTATTTTCGATACAGGAGTGTTTTATGTCATCTGTGCTTTTACAACGGTCTCTTATCACTTATCCTACATGTGTTATATAAGAAAAGATAACAATCAAGTGTTCACTGTAATATACACAAAGAATATTAATGCAACGTAACGATCACAATTTGAGAAGCGTAACCAGATGTATCGTTACATATGTAACTAAATATAACATTAAATTTGATAACTTAAAATATATTTACATTCAATTAAGATGACATTTTTTTATTCGACTTTATGAGTTAATTATTGAAAAAATACAAATTGATTTTTTATCAGAGATGTTCCAAGGAAGATATCGACTATGAAGACAGTAGGAGTCATGAATTTGGAGAAGGAAGCCTCGATCTTTATTACAAAGATTAGTGAGAAAAAATGAAGAATGCGGTTCATTAGTTTCAAACCCGACCAGGATCCAAAAATTTTGGAATCGACAGGTTCCATGTTCAGTATAATCCTGATTTTTACTGTTCACAAATGTCCTTGTAAATTACTTATTATGATCGATCAAAAAATTTCTTCTTTCTTCTTAACCATTTGTTATTTTGTAATTCAATCATTAAATATCTATCTACAGATGAATTATGTACCATTCTATGAATAGATTTCGATCAAGTAAATTACTAACTATGGTATAGAATTCAATTTGAAATAATTTTAATCAGTTTATCAATAAAAATTGTCATGTATGGATTATATGATAATACTTCGAGAAACAGCATAAAAGAAAAAAGCGCGAATACTTCTTTAGATTTTTATATGAGGATCGAAACTGTTTTTTGTTCTCTCGTTCTGTTTTTCTTCAATAATGATTTAAATTCTATTGATTTTGTATGTTGTTCTAGATTTATTTCTTTATTAATTTAACACTTCAGTTTGTTCTATCGTGTCTTTTGTCAAAGACATTAAATTACTATTTGATCGTATTCTTTTTTTTTGAATACTTTTATTGTTTACGAACAAAATAAAAGGTGTTCGACTGTGAGTGACCTCTCTCAATATCTATTTGCTTAGTAAAAAATTCTTGCGGTTGGATTTTATTATACCATTGCTTATTCATTGAATTTTTTTTTTCTTTTTATGATAGATACTTCAAACAATATTTATTTTCTTCTGTTCTCTTATGTATATATTTTTTTTTTTCGTTTTTTATATTCTGAATGAATTATTTTACTTGAATCACTCTCTGCTGCAACACATCAATAACAAGAAAAATAGTTTTTCTAGAGAAAAATTTTACTTTTAATCTAACAAATTCTTTTTTTGTTTCAAACAAAATTATCCTTCAGTTATAGGTCAAATAATAATAAAATACATTTGTCATTATATCATATGCTAAAGGGCAAATAAAACTTAACACTTGTTCAATGAAGAAAAAAAAAATCTTATCAATTTTATTTGATCTTTTTTTATGACTTAAACTTTTTTTTTTTTTCTTCTTCAGATTTGATATAGTTTTATCTATGGCAAATTCTGAAATCATAAGGTTTGTTTGATGATTATTATTACCTACACGAAAACAATAATTTAATTATTATTTTTTTTAATTAAGACGTAATAGTTATGATCATTTGCGATCATTGAATAATAATCAATCAGAATCATCGTACGTATGTGATTGTGGACAAGAATATATGACTGAAGAAACTCTCAAACGACATCAAGTATGCTATAAGGAATGTTTTTTTTTTAAGTGAATTTTTAAACTTGTTTCATTGTTTTTCTAGCAAACTAATTGCAAAAATCGATCAGTTCAATGTTCATTTTGTAATGAAACGTTTTCATCAAGTCTGATACGTGATCATTTACTTTCATGTGGAAATAAAACTGATGAATGTCCACGTTGTCATCATTTTATACGACGTTCTCATTTTGCTTATCATTATGAAAATAATTGTGCATCAACTGATGATATTGAAACACCTCCAACTCGACCTAAAAGTCGATCAGCACAACAGCATGTTCTTACAAATTCTAATAAGCCTATTTTGAGAGTAGATATTCCTAGTGATGAGTATCCTGAAAATTATTCTGGTCAAAATTCATTGACAAATTCTCCAAGAGGAAATAGTAGATCTCCATTATCAATATCAAATTCAAGTGAATATTTTTATTCTAATTTAAAAATTTTGAATTATTTAATATGACTTTTTTTTTATTTTGAAGTTAATATATCAATGACAATTGAATGTGAATTTTGTCATAATCGATGCGTACGAACTGATTATAAAACTCATAGGGTAGTTTTTTTTTTCAAAAATCTTTAAAATTTTGTTTGTTTTTTCAGTACTTTAAATCAATGTCTCATTATATTATTGTAGGAGAAGTGTCTTGACAATCCAGCAAATATTAATCGTAAACAACCATCTGTAATACCTTCAAGGTCAAATCAAAATCAAGGTGCTTCACATGGTATTGTTCATATTCCATGTGAAATTTGTCAACAATTAATTGATTTACCGAATTGGTCAAGTCACACTGTAAATTTGTATTGTTGTTTCTTTTTTCATATTGATTATATTATTTCATAAATTTATTTGATATAGCAAAATTGTCGTGAACGAGAGAAGCAACGAGTAGAAAGACGTGCTGAGTAAGTCTAATATTGTTTGATGAATAGAAGTTCTAGTGAATATATATCTAGAACAATGAGTCAACAACCTGTTACTGAACAATTTCCATGTGAATATTGTCATCAATTATTTTTAGCTAAACAACTTCATTTACATGAAGTAATTATTAAATAACTTAAACCTTTAATCTATAATTATATAATTCGTTTTATTTTTTTATAGAGAAATTGTCTGAAAAATCCAGATAATACAGAATCGGCACGTCTTCTTGCTCAACGACGAACTCCATCAACTGTTGTTCTACCAATCAAGCGACAAAATGATCGAACCAATCCAATACCATCTAGTAAGTCTTATGAATGTATATTTATTATTTCATAAACAAAGTAAAATATCTATGTAAAATTTTCTTCAGATGCTCGATCTCCAAATAACAATCGTTTTGCTCAATATCAACGTATCGATATTGACCGTACACATATTGCAAATAGATCACTTGATAATAATATATCTCAGAATATTAACAATACAAATCAAAATTATTTACGAAACACAGCAAGTGATGAAAATTTTTTAAAATCAAAAAATTCTCCTCGTCATGGTCATACTTATGAAAATGAATCGATGCGATCAAATGAAAACATATCACAATTGTCTAGAGAAAGACCATCTAGTAAATAATATCTTGTTTATTATAGTTATCTTATTACTTTTTGAATAGATGGTGTGTCACAACGTGCAAAATCATCTGATAGCTTGCGAAACATGTATGATAATCAAGATCGAAGTAATAATAATACTGATTATCGTTCACCATACCAAAATGATCGTAGACATCAGCATCAGATTCATCATGGAAGTAAAGTAAGGAAATTGATCTAGTTTTAATTTTGAAATTATTTATTTCATTATTAGCGATACGAAGTGATAAACAATCGTCCTGATAAGCCGATATCCAATAAAAAAAAGAAATCTGGGTAAATATCATAACAATATCCTTTGCTATTGCTTGGTTATTATTGAACACTGTCTATTGCCCTACTAACGAACGAATTTTGCCAGATGTCAAATCACTTTTCGATCGAGACAATATTTATTTGACGAATACTAATGAATAATAGAAAAATCTAAAATAGTTTTCTTTTTGCTAATACTTTATTTGTGGAAACGTAAATATATGAACAATATTTACTTTTACACATTAGAGAATTTCGAATATGAAATATCTCACGATACGAAATACAAGAAAATTTACAACTTACCCAATGAACTAATCTCATTGAGATCTTTGTTCGTACAAAGTTTGAAGTGAAAATTTGAAAGTCAATTTTTCACGTGACCTGAGTAGGACTACAGTTTTTCATTGCAAATTTCGATATCTCAAGGACAAACCCTCGAGAAAATAAAATCATTCTAGTTTTTTCTATTACTGACTAGTACCTATCAAATAAATATTGTCCTAGTTGAAAAGCGTTTTGACATTTGGAGAGGTTCCCTCGTCAGCATTCTTTTAATGTTAATCAACCTATATTAACTGCAATGATAAACTTAAATGTCTATAAACTAGTATTGTGTATAAATTAAAAACATTCTTAATTCTTTTATTTTCTTTTGTAATTCATCGTGAAAAGTTATTTCTTGTTCTATTATCAATTCATTTTATATTTATTTTAGGGTGAAACGATTTTTCGGGTGTGCAGGTAAACCGAGTACTGATGACTAAAACTCGTTGAAAAATAATTCGATTCAAATGGCTTTATTTTTATTGTCTGAGAAGAATATGTATTGTGACAGATGTTTTTTTTTTAAAGAAAAGAAGTTTGATGATATTTGATTTTTTTATTTGTTTTGTTTCTCTATGAAGTATTTATTTTTGATAAATTCCACTTAATCTATCGTTTATTTCATTTTTTTTCTTCTTCTTTTACATATTTGTATTAAGTTCACTTATATTAACTGATTGAAACAGATAATTAAATATTTTAAAATAAGCGAACTTTTAAAATAAATCGTTCACATCGTACAGATCAATGTTGAAACAAACAAACATAATTTTAATTATGGACTATTTTACGATCATATTAAATCTATTGATTTAATTATTCTGTTTTTACGAATTCATCAATTACAGTTACACGAAAGACAACTATAGAATCATTGGTTTTGAAAAAAAAAATATAATTAATCGAAACGATTTAGATTATTGACATTCTCTGAGGATATCAAACATTTTTTTGTTATAAATATATATGATTAAGACTGTTTAATAATACTGCAAAATGATTCATTTACAACCATCATTACTCAGTTCTGTCAAGTGTTATTTACTTATAAACATTTTTAAAGATGAAATGATAATAGTTATTCATAGATCAGACGTCTCAATGGACGAGGTCAGCCTGAAGAAAGTCAACTCAAACTGATTTTTACTTAAAAAATGACCACCTATAGGTCATTCATCTAATTACATTGAATAAATTTTTGAACACATGAATGACAAAAATCATATTTCTAGTAGCAGTAATTAATGCATAATTGACAATTAAAAAAACTTTTAATTATCTCGAATTCAACAGAATTTTCTCATGCGTGTGTCGATGGTTGTTTTTCAAAAAAGATATTTGATCCAATCCGAATGTATACCGTTTTGTATGTGATGATAAATCAGCACTGGTAGTTGAAGAATCGATGATTGAGAAGGGTCAGTAGAAATACAATTAGAATAGAAAAAGTAATTATTGATGAAGGAAGAGATCTAGACAAGGACATTTTCTTCAATACAAAGAAAACATTTTCCTTTGTTTACTTTCATATATTTGATATTGATTACAAAAATGTTATAGCCTATGGAATCATTAGATGATATTTTCAAAACAAAAACCGATAGTAGAAATACGTAACACCTTTTGAAAATTTTATATTTTATTCAAGATTCGACCTATGAACGCTCGTCACAATATCGAATCAGTCCGATCTAGTCTATGGTTTTCTATCCAAAATATTTCGGCCCATAGACTGAGCTCATTGAAACATCTGTGATAGACGACATATAGATCCAGATTGTCAACATCTCGAAAAAAAAAATATCTTCAGAATCAGTTTAGTGAATATCATAAACATAAACAAATGAATCAAGTTCAATACTTACAATTGTAACTAAAACAGTTTTTATGTATAAAATTCAAATTGATATGTTTATTCCAGTGCAAACTCGAAGAGAAAAGTAGAGACTTTTTCTATAGTTCCTACTAATGGTACTTTTTTTTCTTTATAGAAACTCATTAAAAAAATATTCAAAAAGACATATGAACATAAGTAGAAAAAACTAGTCTGGTAATGATGCTAAGTTGTGATCATGAGATGTATCCATTTGGTGAGAACTACTAATAAGATCCGAATAGACACATTTTATCAGCAAGGAAAATAAAATGTCAATAAAAGAATGACGCCTATGATAGGAAAATATTTTTTTAAATTTCGTATCTGATCGATTTACGTTCTTTTCTACCTAGGATAATTACAAAAGATTTTCAATAATAATTATTCAATGTTATGATCAATTGAATGACATTTCTTGATTTCAAAAATCAGAATTACATTGAACAAGTATCAATGATTTTTGTATTACTTTAGATTGAGACAAGGTCAAATTTTTCATGGTAGTATGCAAATCAATTCATTTGAAATGCTAGAAATGACGATCAGCCACACTTACTTTCTCAAGTTTGCTTCTATTATATTGAATAATTCCATTGAAGAGAAAAAATTTATCAATGACATATTCTTTTTTTTTATTGAATATTAATTCTATTTGATATAATTGGCGCCTTTGTGTAAGTTCGCTATTAGCTCTAACTTGAATATTCGAATTTTCTTTCTTAATAATTTGTAAAAAAAAACAAAAATAAATCTATTGAAATACATACATGTTTATAATCTAATTATATAATTTAGTATCGGTTTCATTTTCCTTATTGTTCATTTAATTTATTCAAAAAATGAACTATATGAATTTATAAAGATTTATTTCATTCGAAAATATTTTATGTTAATCTATTTGAATGTTTTGTGTTCGTCAATGTATATTAAAAATCTAATTCATGTCTATACGATATCGATTGAAACGAAACAAGTTTGAATATGAAAAGAATTTTATTAATTGTCAAAGATGATTTCTTTTTTTCTAGTGGTCCTTTAAATGAGCCTATTCCAGCTCATCCTGATGCAATTTATCGACCGCAAAATCGACCGATGAAAGAAAATATTCGACTGGCAACTCCTAAAGTCATAGTTTCACATGTAAATAATCACAATCCAGTATTAGCTGCACCACTTACTGATGGTGCAAGTGGTTTTTCACCTTGGTGGATCATTGGTCCATTGTTAGGTTTACTTGCAATTTTGGCTCTTGCTGCTCTAGCTTATTTCATAAAGAAAAAATATGATTCAGATAAACAAGTCGAAAGAGAAAATAATTCAGAACAACAAAAAACAAATGATAATCTAGAAAGTCTTGATAATACTGAAAAATCAACCGTTCAGAACGTGACACTTAGACAAATGAAGCCAAATATAATATCAAATGAACAATCTGCTGCTAAAGGTAAATATCATATTATATTTTGACTTTTGTTCTGTATTAAATATTACTTTAAAGAACAAAAGATTTTTCATGGTTACAATTTAAAAATATAAGTTTCGTTTTATTTTTATCGTTCAACTTTAGATAATTCAACATGAGACTCTCATATTCATTTTTTTTTTCTAATAATATCAACAAAAAAGAAAAGAGCATCCAACAGATTTCCATTACTAGTACCTCTAAGGAATCATAACTCCATATTACTGTTACAATGTCTACTGATAGTAAATTGTTATCACCTCTCATCATTTGCTTATTAAATTTTCTTATCAAGTAATTTCTATTGATGGGACCGAGCTGATAAAATTGAGTTCCGACGTATCAAAAAACAAATCTAATGAAAAGAAAGTATTTCTAATATTGTTCACAACAGTCTTGTCGATTCACTAAACTCTTCCTCATAAGAGAAGATCACCTTAAAGGAATTATTTGTTGTACACAATAGAAGATCTAAAGTCATTTATTACGATGAGGCATTTTGCTTATTTCTTCAGTAAACTATCCGTTTAGTAATAACTTATAAAACAAGATCGATTGACACTGAAAGTTTGCTATAATCGTATACTTTTAACATGTGTAATCATTCAAAACTTGATCTGACTAAATAACGAATTTTATTTAGATATAAGTAAACCAAAATTAGACGCTAACCTGAATAAAAAAGAAAATCCAATGAAAAATAAATCACAAACAAATGACTTTAAAAAACCACACAATGAAAAAACAGGTGATTAAAATCTTTTATCTTTAAATAGAATATTAAATTATTGAAATAACATCTTGTCAAGATTTAACAAATATGGATCGTACTGAACATATTACATCATCAAAAATAGAACAAGGAAATAAACAATTCATTTCTCCATCATCTCCTATTAAAAATATTGATCTGAATGCTACAAATACACCAGGTAGATGCAGAGAGATGCGGGTAGTGCGATTGTATCTAGTTTGAGTTTGACTTCACGTTTTTTTCTAACCATTTTCGTTAGAAACTTTGAATTTTTTGTCTCATCCGCATACTCCTTTCACTTATCCATAGTTCTTTTCAGAAATTTTTGAATCCGCCATTAGGCAAGTGTTAGTTGAGCTATAAATCTTTTCTTCTCATTTCGATCGTCAAACACAATGCTTCTATAAATCAACTAGATTCTCCTGAACCACATGGTATTGGCAAAAGTCCATTGATATCAATGATGCCAAGTGGAACAAAACGAAGTGAAAAGCACAAAGTAGAAACTCGAACTGATCAAACAAACACAAGAAGTATATCATCAAATTCCACTATACAACAGCAGCATTCATTTAAGAATATTTTCTGTTTTATGACCGAAAAATTTTAGTTTTTGTGACTATTGTTTAATCTGAAGTAGTATCTATCTACTGAGTACATTTTGAGATCCTAGAATTACCATTAAGGATTAAAAAATTCTAAATAGCGAAAACTATACATTGTTTGGATTTTTTAACAGAAAAACTTAAATTTTTCTCCTCGTTCTCCCAAATGTTTCAACTGATTGAGCTAAAACTTTTTGTGTTAGTAGGACAAAATCGAAGTTCATAGACATATTTTTCTTAAAATAATGTTCTGATATTTGATCCTAACTGTTACAAAAAAACGAATTATGACTGTTTTGTGGGACGACAAGTTCAGGTCACTTTTGGCCCTTGCGTCTCCTATATCTCATAGGAGAAAGCATTTGAGAATTCTAAGTTTGTGGCAAGTTTTGCTCTACTATTCGAGATCTATCTACCATCAAAGTTTTAGAAATTTTAGTTGAATCGTTCTTGAGAAACTCAGAAACAAGAAGGACGAATGCCCTTAAGAGGATCCTCTTCATTTCCGGAGTTTCTGCAGAATAGCTCATTAAGAATATTTGAAACTTTCAGGATTGATAGATCTCGACGAACAGAGCAAAACTAATCATTAACCTTTGATTCAAATAAAAAGATCAAAATACTGAGCGTACCTCCAAAAATACATAGTTTTTTTTAACTAGAGCTCTTCAATCAATTTAACGGAGCAATATTTTTCAACACAAAAATATTGAATACTCAAACAGTGTATAATAACTGGAAAAAAAACCTTCAGCTCGATTGAATGTACTGTGACGGTAAAAGGGCGACGATTCTGTACCATTTTCTGTGTAAAAATTATTTTCGAGAACAATGAAAAACAATTTTTTTGTATGTATCAAGACTTTTCTTCAACTAAATTGATCGAAAACTGGGTGTGTTCAGCACTGTTAGAAGTCCATAATCCATGCTCTCAGTAGTTTCGAACTGAGAAATAGTCATTATCATTAAGAGAACTTTGATTAAAAAGAATAATTGGAGCGAGAGCTTTTCAGCTATGAATTTGGAGAGTTGGATTTAAGGCCCCCTCCCCCCCTCAAAAATCTATCTCAGCCCATGAACATCCAAATTGCATGAAACTTTCAGGATACGTTGGAGCTGGAGAGGGGAGACTACCATAAAATTTTCGGCCCGAAATCTTCAGGTTTTAGGGAGATATGAATCAAACAAGGGTCAAAAATGTCTCATGTGGCATCCCAAAATTTTCGGTTCTGGTTCGTTCAATAGATTAATATTTTTTTTTTGTTGGAAAGAGCATCTCAAGATGTAGGGCATGATAGGGCCGTTTTTTGAAATAGTCCCCTTTTAAGCGCAAAAAAGAGATCACAAGTTCAATTTCTGAAAAAAGTGTCAAAAAATGGTAACCAAATCATATAACTGGCTGTATATTGACCAAACAAAGGCTTAATTAAAAAAAATAGCCCCATCATGTCCTGCGCCTTGAGACAATCTTTTAAACAAAACAAAAAAAATATTAATGTATTGAACGAACCAGGAACGAGAAATTTGGGAAGCGCTTTTGAGAAAGCGGAAACTGAGAAAAAACGAAAAACATTTTTTGATTTTTCAAAAAACCACTTGTTTTTTCGAAAAGGGTTGACGGAAATCTTGAAAATTTTTTGGGGAAAAATGAAGTAACGAGAAAAACAAATTATTGTTTATGAAAGAGCAGATGACGGGCTATCTTCCCATGTATTTATCTCAGCTTTGACAATTCCAACGAAAACTGACATTTTATAAGGGGGGGGGGGGGGGGGGGGGCGTAAAAAAAAAAATTTTATTAAAAAAAAAAAGAAGGGCTACTTGA